TTTTGGTACAGATCTGGTTTGATTAGGGTTCAAGTAGATCCTTGAATATTGTATTCTAAATTCAGGGAATATGATTCCCAGTTGGGAGAAGGTAGGAAATTTTTGAAAWTYGYCCCAYCCAHTCCGCAACCTTTATGGCGTCCATTAGATGGATCCTACCATTCTTTCACCTATTGCACTTCGAAAAGGAAAAAGGAAGTGTACAGCTCATTGCATCTCACACTACCTTTCCTATAGTAGACTATCTCCTTCCTACCAGGCCTTCCTTTCTTCCCTTGACTTTGAGTCTATACCCAGAAGTGTTAGTAAGGATCTCCCCAAACCTGAGTGGAAGACGGACCTAATTTTTTGGCTTCTCCCCATTCTCTTCAACTTCTCTTCTCTACACAAACCTTCTTTTCTTTCTTTTACAGTTTTATATCAAAACGAGAAACTTTGACACCTTTTCTAAGAGAACAAAAATACTCCCAAATACAAAGAACAAAAAGGCAGAAAAGAAAAACATGGGAAATAGTTTCACCATTGCATTTACATAGGATCCACAAGTGAGGGGGAAGGCAATTATTTGGCCTTCTTTTCTACAACACATCACAAGTGTTGATCTTTACAAGGAAGACTTCCCAGCAAAAGGCCTGAACCTTAGGAGGGATTGGCTTACACCAATTTTCTTTCACCGGGAAAATTATCCCCATGGTAGATGGCTGAATTAAGAAGTTAAAGAAAGAAGCATAAGTAAAAAGCCATTTGGAAAGATTAACCACACGCTGGTATCCTCTACATTTTGATCCAAAAAGACCGAATCAAGTCTAGCCAAAGGAGAGATGAGAGAGACTCACATTCCGATTCCCTAAGACCCCTTCTGAACCCAAAGTCCCAATTTAAACCTGAGGCAGAGAAACTCAAAAAGTTAGAAATGGGTTCAGATATGTAATTGGAAAGTAAATAAAGCAAAGGAAATTGCAAAGTGCATAAGTTGCTTTCCAAGAAGAGGTTAAAATTGCAAAGGGTACCACCTTTGTGTCCCAATCATTGTCTAAAATACCATGCATGTTAGAAATGACCTTATGCCAGAGCCTATTTCTTTCTAGGTGAAACCTCCAGAACCACTTTCCTAGGAGAGCTAAAATCTTTTGGGCTATCCTAGCCCAAGCCCCCACCCTTCTCTTTAGGCCTACTAACTTGTTCCCAATTCACCAAATGGTTTCTCTTATCAACTCTTGGTTCCCAAAGAAAACCCCTCAATTTTTCCAATTGACCAACAATTTTGGCAAGAGCATGAAAAGTGGACAAGAAGTAAATGAGAAGGTTGGCCAAGGTGGCTTTGATCAGGGTTATCCTTCCTCCCAAAGAAATGTAACACCTCTTCCAAGGTGCCAATTTTTTAGTAAAACTCTCAACTACAAAGTTCCAAAAATTCTCATTTCGTGGATTTCCACCCAAGGGGATCCCTAAGTACTCTAGGGGTCAGTTTTTTACTTCACAACCCAAGGACTCTATCATTCTAATGATTTCCTCTTCTTGTAAATTCAGGCCCGCGAGACAGAATTTCCCTAAATTGACATAGAAATTGGATAATTTCTCAAAGGAGCTAACAAGAAGTTTCAAGTTCCTAAGGGCCTCAAGGCTATAGTCATCACATAGAAAAGTGTTAAGTCATCTGCAAACTGCTAGTGGGTAACCACAACTTCATCCCTTCCCATCCTCCAACCCCTTATTGAATTATCCAAATCAGCCTTAAGGATCATTCTACTTGGAACCTCTACAATCAAGGTGAAAAGCAAAGGGGATAAAGGATACCCTATTGCAATCCTCTTTTAGTTGGGGAAGAAATCTCTAGCAGCCCCATTAATCCAAAATTGAATAATGCACTAAGCCCATGAATCCCTTAATCCACTTTCTCCACCTTTCTCCCAATCCAAACTTCGCCATAACTTCAAGAAGGAAAAACCAACCCACCAAGTTCTATGCCTTCTCTAAGTCCAATTTACAAACAAAACCTTTCCCTCTTTTCTTCTTTTTTTTGATAAATGTTCCCTCTTTTCTTCTTTTCAGATATACATTCATTTGCCACTAATATTTGGTCAACAATTTGTCTTCCCTCCACAAAAGCACCTTGAGATTGTAAGATTATTGTGAGAAACACCATTTTTAACCTGCTGCATGAACCTTTGGCGATTATTTTATAAAGGCTTCCCACCAAACTAATTGGTCTGAAATCCCTTGGGGTTCTGGCTTCCTTTTTCTTATACACTAACATAATGAAGGTGGCATTTGTTCCTAGATACCTCCCCTTTTTGGTGAAACTCATCAAACACTTCCTTTAGGTCCTTTTCCAAAATTTCCCAACACTCTTGATAAAATGCCATGGTGAAACCATCCAGCCAAGGGGCTTTGATCTTTCCATGGAGAAAACGACCTCTTTGATTTCCTCAATACTAAATGACTCCTCCAAGGCCCTAGTTTGAACATCAGTCACCCTATCCCATTGCAGTTCAGGCAGTTCTTGCCTATTCCCCTCCATTCTGGAAAAAATGCCCTTACAATGATCAAGAAAGACCTTGACTATCACCTACCTCCGAACTTCAATCCCATCCACTTCCACACTTGTTATTAATTTCTTTCCTTCTCACACTTGCTAACAAAATAAAAGAACCTTCTGTTTTTGTTCCCTTCCTAAAGCCACTTACATCTAGATTTTTGTATCCAAGAAATCCCGTTCTTTCTTAGAAGCTCTTCTAATTCCACCTTTTGCTTCCACCACTCTTCTTTGTCCTCCAATCTAAAATTTCTTTGTGCTTCCTTTCTGTCCAACTCCACAATATTGGAAGAAATTCTTTCTTGAGCCTCTTCAATTCTTCTAAAGTGATCCTTATTCCATGCTTTAATTTTCCCCATCAGAGCTTTCAAAGTCCTCATAAACCTAACACCTTTTTTCTACTTCTTGGTCTTCCCTCATCCCACCAAGATTTTACTCTTAACTTAAAAAAGGGATCCTCCAACCACATATTCTCATAACAGAAAGGGAAAGGACCACCAAATAATGACTCTTGTCCTAAAGAAATAGGGCAATAGTCCGATGTTACCCTATGCAAGGCCCTACCTACGAGGTTTTCCCACAAGTCTTCCCAATCTACCGAAAAGATGAACCTATCCAAATTGGAGCAAATTGTATTTGCTTGAAAATTTGACCAGGTGAACTCAACAAGAGTTATAGTTCTTTCAACTCAAGAGACTCAATCCAATTGTTAAATTCCCTCTTGCTAAGGGCAATGCCCTAACTTGGCATGTTTGTTTCCTTGGAGAATCTAAGAACATTGAAGCCACCCCCTAGACACCAAGGCTCCTCCCACAATCCTCTAACAGCACTCAACTCCTCCCAGAATTGATCTCTTTCTCAGTATGAATTGGGGCCATACATATTAGTTAGGACCAATGCCCTTCCATCATTTGCTCTTTTAATTTTAATGGAAACCAAATAAGTCCCAATGAGTTCCTCTAGGCAATTCATTTCCTCATTTTTCCACATAATTAGTATACCCCCTGAAGCTCCCCAAGAAGGTGAGAAAGCCCAACTTCCTCTAGCTCCCCAAATGCTTCGAATCCATCTTCTATCTCCAAGAGTTTGGTTTCTTGGATTAAAATCACATTTGGCTTCTTTTTTCGTAGTGCACTCCTAATCAATCTTCTCTTCTTTGCACTCCCTAAACCCTGCACATTCCAACTAATGATCATCACTCTTTAACTTGTCAAGGACCCTAACACCCTCCTCCCTCTTATCTCACTTTCCTTTCCCCCCCTCCTCCTATCGTCCCCCTTATCATAAGAGATCTCAGTAGCCAATTTCTCCACTTCAAGTCTTCTTTCCTTCTGCCCTACCCTTTTTTGTTCTCGAGTACACCTTAACATTCTCAGGTTCAGATGGTGTCTCTTCCCCATGAGTCAATCCTTTCTCATTTTCTAGTTCTGTGGTTTCCTGTCGTACGCTGCTAATGTCTTCTTCTCCCCTACATCACTTTTCCTCCTCTTATAGTAAATCAGACAGATTACTGAAGACTAGATCTAATATTCTTGCCTCACCAGAGTCCTCACTAACTTCCTGTCTTGAAGACTTTGCTTCAGTCTCAAGGGCACAAGGACAGCTAGCAGTCAATGGCAATTCGACATCAGCTGGAGGAGGACCCAGGGTTAAGATCACAAACAAAAGGAGAAACAGACTGAAAAGGAAAAAACAATATACCCATATTTATAACATAAAATAGCAACTGGTTGTCCTACTAAAAAATCCTACTCATACTTGGCTTAGGAGTACTAACTGAAAACAGAAAACAATGACTCCTAACAAGTAATAACTATATAACTAAAACTACCACGCTGTAAAACACTCTACTAACACACTTCTAACACAACTGTTTCTTAAACTTCAAGACTTACTCTAGCTCCTAGACAGAATCTTCTCCACAATTGTACTGAATAAGAACCAAAGCCTTAGAATTGTTGGGCACATTTCTTTGGTTTGTGTCATACAATAATGTCAATTTTCAAGGTCTTTGTATGTGGAATATTAAGTGTTAGATGGGTTCAAAAGTTTCAAATGATAAGTACTACTTTAAAGTACATGTCAGCGAAAGGACAAACATAAAAAAGTAGCAATATGATGAGTATCAATCAGGTTGCATGCTCAATACTCAATTCTTGAGCATTATGTGCATTGATACTTTTGAACCTTAGTTCCACCATTCCACTCTACTCAGTGTCATATCCATTGTTAAATTGTGAGCCCTCAAATCAGTTCACACCACTACAACCCATGTCCTTACTGGTCTGCCCATTGCACTTCTAGACACTTGACTTGTAAAAATAGCCTCATAACAATTCAAACTAATAAATCAAATTATCTTCAACAGTAAATCTAAGTAGAAAACCTGAATGTATGGAAAATAGATGTCCTTTAGTTTGCATTGGAGTTGAAATACATCCAAACTTCTAATCTTAGGCTCAAAAATTTCAACCTGTCAAGCATTTCAGAAAGGCAAACCCTTTAGTGCCCTATAAGGAAGACTCAAAATGTTAATTACACATGTTAAATGTATCATATAGTTGGGATAAGGCATGGATAATGATGGTGACAATGAAGAAGATGATGATGATGATGATATGTATCATATGGTTCAGCTCTACATGACTGTTCTACCAGAGACAAGACAACAATTATCTCATCTTGCAAGCACCTTTAGCTTAAACTAGAAGTAGAAACAGAAAATATGAATTAATTGTTATCAAACACTCCCAAAAGCAATTATATCGAGAAAATCATGAACTAATTTCTGCWAAAATATACAAATCCATACATGGTATACAATTTGACAGGCTAATATACTGTCCTAAACAAGATAAGCTGGAGGTACTGTGGTGCCAAAACTTTGAATACAACAAAGAAGCTCCAAGACCAGATTGGTGCAGAATAGCTTGTAAAAGACATGCCAGACTGTGCTGCAAAGGGGATCCAATGAAGATGCAAGTGTTATTGGTACAAGCGAGATAGGCCAAGACTAATTCTTGCAAATTGAAAAATGGAAATGCAGTCTATAAAATAAAAATGAATTTCAATATTATATACTGAACCATTGTGATTGTAAATTCTCTAATTCCTCTTCTTATTTTTTTACACCATCTATAAGGGCATGGATTGGCGATGGTTGGAGTACTCCAAAAGTTGAAGGAAAAGGCAATTGGATCTAGATAGAAGAAAATGAACTAACCCCCAAAGAGGCTACACAACATACCCTCTGGAGAGGGACCAGGTTCCTGATGAACATTGGTGATCTGAGTGAAAGATTGAGAGAGGGAGAGGAAGAGAGAGAATGTTTGGGTCATGGGTCCCCTCCCTCGGACATGGATCCCTACTTATATATTTTTCTCTCTTTCTGGAATTTTCCAATAATTTTTCCAACTCATCATGAGTGGCCCGCTATCAGCCATATACATTACCCGTTTGGATTGATTATTTAGACCAGACCAGGCCAGCCGGGTCAGATGTCCATCCTCCTACACCATCTACTACCCCTTCATATATGTTCCTAATTACATCAGTATAGCTACTCAAATCCAATATTGCCCGGATATGACAAAGACAAGACTAGACAAGGTATTGGATATGGAATTTACACTAAAATATAAAGCATCCAATACAATACAACACTCTTGGATAGGCATTTGATTACTATAGATTGCAAGCCCTATCTTCCCAAAAATGACTTCCATAGAGACATTATCATAACTCTACCTCTTGGACCAACTTCTTTACCTGCTCTTGTCCATTAAGGTAACATAAACCCTTACTCGTCACTGCAACTGGGCATCACCAAGGCAAGGAGAGCACCTTAGTGGTGAATCCTTGCCACTTTATCACTGCACCTGGGTGCAGCACATCAACACCTGGAGAATTCTCTAGCATTGCACAAAATAATTTAGGATTCATATTATTATTAGATTGGCTAAAAGTTTTATGTCAATTGACAACCAAGCACAACCACCAAAAAATAGTGAAATTTTCACTAAAATTGCAAACCATGGAGCCAATAAACACTACCTACTAATAGATTAGAGTGTAACATTGCTATCACCCCTAGAATGAGAATCTCCAGCATATAAAAACTTCAGTTCTAAGCTATAAACCCCAATCTATATATATAACCTAAAAGCAAAAGGCTGTACAGCCAATTGTTGTGCATTTGCCAAATGGAATCTTTTTTATATAACCTAAATGAAATCTTATAATCTTAGATGTAAATCAGTCCTCTAATATCAAGATTAAAACTTAGTGATTAGCAGAATAGATTTGTGTAAATCAGTCCTCTAACCCTATTTTATTAATCTCTAAAAATTTGATGAAGACAAGTATACCCTTAAGTGGGCGGCCAGCTTGGCAGTTACATAAAGAAAATAAAACAAGAACAAATAACAGGCCCATTAAGTGAGGCCCATCAACATAAAATAAAAGATAAAATAAAGGATATCACACGAGAGGCTGTTAGGGTCCATTCGGCCGAGTCTCTTTGCACTCCCCCTCAAGCTGAGCATAGATGTCAATCATGCCCAGCTTGCTTATATAGTGTGTCAATTTCCCCCTGGAACTCCCTTGGTCAAGATATCAGTCAGTTGCTCTTCTGATGTGATAAATGGTAAACAAACTTCTCCTGAAGAGACTCTTTCCCTTATGAAATGCCTATCAACCTCAATGTGCTTAGTTCTRTCATGTTGAACAGGATTATGTGCAATGTTGATAGTAGCTTGGTTGTTGCAATAAAGCATCATTGGTTTCTCGTAGTCCACCCCCAATTCCTCTAAAAGGGATCGTAGCCATACTAATTCTGACACACCATGAGCCATTGCCCTGTATTCTGCTTCAGCTGAGGATCTAACAACTACTAATTGTTTCTTACTCCTCTAAGACACAATATTCCCAGCAACCAGAGCACAATAACCAGAGGTGGACCTTCTGTCATCAATACATCCTGCCCAATCTGCATCAGTAAAGGCTTCCAGATTCATGTGACCATGCTTAGCAAATAGAATACCTTTCCCTGGAGTACCTTTCAAGTAGCACAGAACCCTCTCTGCAGCAGCTAGATGAGTATCTCTAGGATATTGCATAAACTGACTGATAGCACTTACCGCATAGGAAATATCTGGCCGAGTCATGCAAAGGTATAACAACTTCCCAAGWAGTYTCTGAAACACTCCCTTATCAGACAAAGGTTCACCATCTGTGGCAGAAAGTTTATGATTRGGATCAATGGGAGTGGAGATGGGTTTAGCTCCAAGTTTACCAGTTTCAGCAAGAAGATCAAGGACATATTTGCGCTGGGATATGAATATACCATCCTTAGATCGAGCAACTTCAATGCCCAGGAAATACCAAAGATCTCCCAAATCTTTGATTTCAAATTCAGAGATGAGAAATGCTTTTAGTTTACTGGCCTCTTCAATGTCATTACCCGTGACCACAATATCATCAACATAAACAATCAAGAAGGTCACTAGAGAGTCATTTCTCTTCACGAACAGTGTATGATCAGAGTGTGTTTGAATGTAGCCAAAGGAAACAAGAGCAGCCTGAAATCTCTCAAACCAAGCCCGAGGAGATTGTTTGAGACCATAAATAGATTTGTGTAGTTTACACACCTTGCCTTTCATTTCTTTCCCATACACTCCTGGAGGTAGAGACATATAGACCTCTCCATGCAGTTCTCCATTCAAGATGGCATTTTTAACATCAAACTGGTGTAGGGGCCAATCAAAAGTAGCTACTAGAGAAAGTAAAACCCTGACTGAAATCATCTTAGCTACAGGAGCAAATGTCTCAAAATAGTCAATGCCATACATTTGGATGTAACCCTTAGCAACCAACTGAGCCTTAAACCTCTCAACAGAGCCATCAAAGTGATATTTAATAGTAAACACCCATTTACAACCCACTGGTTCCTTCCCTTCCAGCAAGTCCACAATATCACCAGGTATGATTCTTATGCAATGCATCAAGTTCGGTCATCATAGCATCCCTCCATTCATCTTGAGATAAAGCTTCCAGTACAAACCTGTGTATCACATGGGAAGAAATAGAGGCAAGAAAAGAGTAGTAGGAAGGGGAGAGAAGGTTGTAAGATAAGTGTTTGGAAATACAATGGGTTGTACACTTCTGCTTGCCCTTGCGAAGAGCAATAGGAAGGTCAAGGTCTGGAACAATCAGAGATGGGTCAATAGAGGGCTGACTTGTTTCCTCAGGAATGATGGGAGTGGCAAGATGTTCTTCTGAAGGAGTGGAAACAACCTGCACATGTCTGAATCTCTGCCTTTGGTACCACCTTTGGAGAGCAGGAGCAAAAGCAAGAAGGACATCAGGGGTAGGTCCAGTGGAAGAGGTGGACACCCCATGATCGGACTCACAAGGGATAGGAAGAGGAACAGCTGGAGACATAGCAAAGTACTAATCAGATTTCTCCCCCTCAAGAGGAATACTAAAGAAGGGAGTCAACTCTGCAAAGGTGACATCCCGAGATACAAAGCGGGTGCCACGAACTAGATCAAAACAGCAATAACCCTTCTGTGTGGAAGTATATCCCAGAAACACGCACTTATGAGCCTTAGGTTCAAACTTGTGCCTTTGGGGACTATGAATATGCACATAGCAAGTACACCCAAACACACGGAGAGGAAGAGAAGAGATCCTCATCCGAGAAGAGAAGACTAAAAGGGGTTTTAAAGCCAAGGACCCGGAAGGGCATACGGTTGATCAGAAAGGTAGCAGTAAGAACAGCATCTCCCCAAAACTTTATAGGAACATGAGATGCAAATAAGAGGGATCTGGCAACCTCAACCACATGCCTGTTCTTTCTTTCCACCACCCCGTTTTGTTGAGTGTAGGAACAAGAACTTTGATGAATAACCCCAAAATTTTCAAGATAGGTGGAGAGGGTTCTCTCAAAATACTCCTTAGCATTGTCAGAGCGGAATATTTTGATACGGGTATTAAACTGGGTGAGGATGAGTACATGAAAATTTTTCACAATAGTTGGTACGTCATCCCTGAATTTCATGAGATAAATCCAAGTGTAACGCGAATAATCATCAATAAAAATGATAAAGTACCTATAACCCCCCATGGTTGGCATGTGATACGGCCCCCATACATCAGAGTGAACAATATGGAAAGGAGAAAATGATCTCTTATTGCTAATTGAATAGGAATGTCTACAATGCTTTGCCAGATCACATGATTCACAATGAAGACTCGATAAAGACACTCCTTTAAACATATCTGGGAACAGATGACTCAAAGCGGAAAATGACAAGTGACCAAACCAAAAATGACATAATAAAATTTTGTTAACAGACTCTGACACGACCGACTCTAAGGCAACTCCATGAGGTGGTCCCAAAGCATGATCTAGTGTGTCCAGCAAGTATATTTCGTTCGCCTCATGGCCACTCCCAATCATCCTCTGAGACT